ATTTACACAATAAAAACTTTATTGAAGCCGTTCGGCTTCTACTTTAAAATATCACTCTACAAGTACATGTTTCGAGGTAAAGTGGTAGCCGTACGGCTTCAATAGTTTTTTTATTGTGTCAATACAAAACGTTGTTTTTAATTATCTGTTATAATTTTAAAAATGTTTAATACTCGCAGCTTATTAGATTCGACTGAATTCGTTCATCATTACAAGAGTTTGAAGATAGAGCTCGTAAACTCATTCGAATTCTTTATAATCGGGGTTTCATATTGCAAAAACTAAACAAAGAATACGTGAATTATTGTGGAAAATTCAACAATGTTCTTGCTAAAGACTATTGTCTTAGAAGTTTTACAGAATATCACAATCCCTTAAAAAATTTTACTTCTATACTCTGATTTCTTTTGAGATTGTTCAGCGTAAAAGAAAATAGATTTAGTGTACTGACTACCATTGGTTTTACTTCCTGCTAACTTAAGCGCTAATTATGAATACTTAATACTATCTACATAATAGCTGGGTGCTAAATGTGCTATTATATTGTTGATTAAGTTACATTAGTTTTACTAATTACTTTCATTGCTATATTTAATTTCTAAGATTGTTGTTACTGTCCTTTTTTAAGTTTTATTATCACTATTGAATTTTCTCGAGGCTTATCGCACGTATATTTCGCGTATTACAGAAAATGTAACTTTATTTATTAGCAAGTTGATCATTAATTAAAAATCAATAAAATAATTATTGAGCATTCGCGTGGGAAAATATTCAACGAAATAACGCGAGGAAAAATTTATGAAAAAACTCAGAATTTTCCATGACAAAGGGCCATGTATTAAAGAGTTAATAAGCATTTAGTTACTAGGTCGAGTGAATAACGAAGTTATCTACGTGTTGCTGTATTATTGTTTGGAGCTGTGGTGTAGTTTCCAGGTTGCACAGTTATCACTGGATATGTAATAATTTGACCAGCACAAAGATATGATTGTCTCTCTCTACAAAGTGCAACTACGACTCTGATCAGCCAGGGTTAGTGGTGTGTAAGGGGAATGTTGTTAGCTCGAAACGGTGGTGACTCGTTATCTTCACAAGTGTGGATGTCTTTTGAGGTAGACATTTAGCACTATGGGGGGCTGAATGCTAATGTTTTATGTTCCGTAAGTAAGATATACAATATCCCTTGTCTGGAAAGACTTTCTTTAATAGTATTAGCTAAAATTTTATATTACTTTTTTGTTTTAGTACTATACTGTCATTATAAAAGATTGTTTTGCATCGTTAGTTTTGAATATATATATATCTAGGACTAGCCCAAATTCCCTATGCCGGCCGAACTTTGTGAGATATTATTGGGTTTACGGCCGAAAATATAATTAACAGTGTGGGTACCGAACTGATGTTACTCTGTTCGGAAGTTATTATATACCTCACCATCCCAATCCAATTCCAGCGGCCCTGTAGTATTATTGCAATTCCACTCTAGAAATGTTTGAAGAGTTTGCACCCACGAAATTAAATATGAATAGGCACATACTTTATCGTCACTCCCATAGCGTCCCTAAAGCCCCAGAGTGCGGAATGCGTCTTTGAGGTGATGGGACATGAATAATGAATTCTCTGATTCACAGTACGGCATACTAGCCAATGGGTCACGCCCAGCGTAATGTTCAGAGATCATAGCAAATAATGGAAAGGTCGAAAAGAAAACGTTATAGAGAATAAATCAGTCTCAGAATAGTGAAATAAATGGGAGTACAAACACACTTCTTAAAGTAAAGCACATATAAATATCTTTATTGAACACATATGAATTCATTACTCTGATATCGGCTGCCTTACTTTGTAACAGTTGATTTTCTGATGTAGATGCATACCAAAGATACCAAGTCTAAAAGGTTTGTCTTATATCACACCTTTCGCTAGATAAAACTTCCATTTTTAGAGAGTCTCGCAAGCCTGAATAATTCATGCCAATTATCATACTCATTTTAAATTCAATGGTTAATCTCCCTGCTCATACCGACCTTTCAGCCCATTGTATCACCCTAGTTTTGAGTACAGTCCACGTGCCAACCGAAATACCTTAGTCCTAACAGGCAAGAATACGTGTAGAGTAACCCCTGTGGTGTGTAACCTGCCTCGTACAGGAATAACATGGCTAGCATAATCTATAGATAACAACGGGCCATTTGATCGTTTAAGGTTGTCTTTGCACATTCACCATTGGGGGAAAAAAATTTTAAGCCTTCCCTTTATTTTTTGAAAGAAATATTATATTCCCCTCTTAGTCTATTATAAGGTATTGGCTTCCATTACTACTAACAGAAATCCATTCTATATGCTAATCACCATGTTAGAAAAATAAAACTGTATTAACTGGAGCCTAGCCTTTTTTTTTCTCGAAATCTTGAGCTTGTACCTTCTATTACCTTCTGAATAAAGCGCAAAGAAATCATGTCAGAATCTTATCGAACTCTCGGATGAACTTCAATAATATCGCCACCTCTTATTTTTCTTTTTCTCAAAAAAAAGAAAAAAAAAAGAGAAATCTTAACCTTTCTATCTCCGGAACATGTTCGCCCTTTCAGTCGTGGGGTATTATTATGTAACGGTCAATCCCATTATTCATTGGTTATAGAGTAGCCCGAGATTTGGCAGTCGTGTTGACTAGCTGCCCTCCCTTTAGTCTATCACTGCTAAATTAGGAACGGTTAGCGCAAATAGCCCTCGTGTATTGTCAAAGGCTTTATACGTTTAAATACTTGTTTATTAGAGGGAATTTGTCATGACTTTGTGATGACGCAAGACCTTGAAACTTCATGAAAGATAAGGCCTCAGTAAAATCTGGAAACTTCTTGTATTACATAGAAAACTAGAATACCAAATGCAGTTAACTAATGAGTTAGTCAGTAAATTATTGTGTTAGAAAGTTTATTCAGTTTAATATCAATTAATTAGACTGTGACTGTTAGAAAACTAGTCACCGAATTAGTATCTGTAATCAATCGATTAACGAGGAAATTCTGCAAGTATGATTATTTGCGAGTTAGCGTGTTTGTTAGCAGTCGATTAGAGAAGAAATTGTTTGTTTGTAGTTAAGCACAAAGCTACACAATGGCCATATCCGTCCTGCAACCATCACGGTTATCGAAGTCCGACTTTTAGCGTTATAAGTCCACATACTTACCACTGAGTCACTAGGTGCTAGTTAGGAAATTCTGCAAGTAAGCTTATTTGTGAGCTAAGCATACCGGTGAACGTAGTCTATACAAACGTTATTGAAGAAATGAATTAATTCGTTATCTTTGTATGGTTGGTACTTCGCATTATTAAAAAAAAATAATAAAAAAAATCCGCCCAACAATAGAACACGTTACAACACTAATTTATGCTAACTCAAACTCACTAACCGTATTAAAAAGAACAACAGAGTTCAACTTTTCACAAATTTCCATGACATAGATTGAACAAATTCAGCACGAATTGATGTTCTTGTCTTATTTTAAAACATTAATAACAAGAAGATGATAAATTGAAAAATTCATTGTAATTGATATCGTTAGATTTTAAATTACGTTATAGCTTTTGGTCTGTTAGAAATAAAATAGTGCAAAATTGCGGAAAACCATTTATAAGCGATGCATTCGCTTCATTAATAAAACAGTTCTCGATTTTTTCCAAACTTTATAAAGTTGAAGGTTGCCAAAATTAAATGTTTGTATTTTAAAGCAAAACATGTTTGCACACACACATATATATATAGTTTCTAATATTTGTTTAAAAGTGCAGAATGCATTTGAAAAAATATTAATATTGCATGATTTTTTTGTATTTTGTGAAAGAGATAGAAATTAAATAAAGAGTATGTTTAGGTTTACTCAGAATAAGTGATTATTATTATTATTTATTAGATGTAGTTGATATGTAAAGAAGGGCCATGTAAAACAATATATGCAGAGGTTTAATCAGAGCTTATAATAACGATGTTTCCAATCTCGTGCTGCTTTAGGAATTACTTTTTTCATCAGTGATCATACTCAGTCTCTAATGTCATTACTGCCTGACCCTATAATTTCTGCTGTAACAAACTTCTGCGAAGGATAGCGAGGTC